TGAACCTATTTGCCCTTCTCTGTCTCAATGTTCTCCTTCTTTTCCAACAGTCTTCTCATCCTCCTCCTGTGGGTTCCTTTCTTTCTTTGTAACTGGATGGGAAAAACCTAGTCCCTTAAATAAGGAACTCATTCAAAAGCAGGCACTGAAAACCCTTCCACATGTAGTCTTATTGTTCATGAACACAGCTCAGATCCCCTCAGGCACATTAAGATAACTAGCTTTATCAAAAATTTTTAAGAATAATTATGTCTGCTGCTGCATTAAAATGTGACTAAATTTTCTAAGGCTAAAAATCAAAGTGTGTGCAATTGCATAATGCACTGGAGTAATTTTCAGCTCATATGTTCCTCTGATTTTCAATAAGATAATAGAAAAACATACACATATACATTGTTCTTTAAAAAAAACTCATTCTAACCCTTCTCCTTGGAGGTTTCTTTCCCTGATCTGTAGAATTGTGATAGAAAACAGCAACCTATAAAAGCATAATTATGAATATGTATTATTATTTTATGAACGAAAATTCACAATTTTTCAATAGCTTCCAACTTTAAAAGAAAACAGACAATAAAAAATAAGTACACTTGAAGAGATTAAAAATAAGCTATCCTTGACCTAGGTGGGGCCAAGAAATGTTAGAAGAAAGACAAAATTTTAAATCAGGGAAATAATTGAATGACCTCTGCCTGAAAAACTGTGCCATAAATTATCTTTGCACTCTGTGGAAACATTCTCCTTTGCCTTTAGAGTAAATCAGACAATTTTCAGGCCAAACCAATTTTCTAAATCGTAATTAGACAAGAGGCTAAAATAGGTCTTTGTAACGGATGTGGGTTATAAATTTAACATGATATCCATAATTCATCCCTGAAGAAAGGTCCTTTACATTCTGAAAGCTTGGATAATATAACTTAAGGAGGTGGCCTGCTAAATGGTGTAACAGTCTATCTTGCTTAGTTTACTTTAGAACTTTGATTCATACTGTGCTCAGTTCCTTTCCCAGTGGGAAAGCAAGATCCTTAAACCTCTTTCTCACACTTATTAAAATAATTCCCTCCTCACCAGGACATCAGCCTTGGGCATGCCCAGTTCTCTTGCTAATAATTTTGTCTTTTTCAGTCCTTAGATGAGTTCTGAATTATAATTGACTAGCAGAAAGCTTAATTTTTTTCATATTACGTATGCTTACACAATATTACACAAAAGCATACACAAATGCTTAAAACACTATGGCAAGAGGGGAAGAAACATCCACTGCTGTTCTATAACACACTAGGTATTTAGTACACAAAAAAGAGTGGGAAAGATCAGTTTGAATGACTGTAATAAATATGTCAATAGGCAAGTATATGCTTGTAAAAAAGCTTTACCTTTTAAAAATGCAAGTTGCAAAATTTATATGTTACGTAGCAAAATTAGAAATTCTTGATATTTCATGAAGTAGTCAATTGAGTTTTCAGGTTTCCTTCAATATCATGTCAACCTGCCAATTAACATTAATTCATTTAAAGCAGGTTAGTTTTCACTGCAGTTTCAGTTAGTTTTGCAAGTAAGCCAGAGAAGAAAGGAATGCTCTCCATAAACAGTTATCATGAATATTTTCGAAGAAGTTAAAGAAAGAATGTGGGCTCTAATTGAGCTACAGTTTCTATCACAGTGCAGAAAAATGTATAATCTTTTTATTATCACAGCATTGCTTCAGGTACTTATCAGAAGTTCCTACAGTGCAAATCGTAGTTAGTTATCATGAAATAAATCTGACAAGCTGTTGTTCAAGCCAGTGTAGTTGCCTTTTCAAGCTACATAGCAAAATAAGAAAGCCAGAGTCTTTTTTACAGTAAATTCTAAATCTGTCATTTAGCCAAACGGCACAGTACTCCTCAACAGAGGAAATAATTACTCTGTCTACCACCGCTGTATCAGCAAGCAATCTGCTTACTGGATCCTTGATGTTATATGATGTTTCAAACATTTGGCCAAAGACAGCAACCACTTGCTTTGGTCTTGCAACAAATTTGTGAAGTCCATTCCATTTTTGGCCTCACTTTAGAAACTGTGTTTCATAGTTCTCATCTGATTCTTGCCCACAAGAAAGAGTGGCCCCATGCCAGCATTGTTTGTCTCACTCAGGGCTGGTTTGAAAATGTTGAATCAACATCTAATTGAGCAGACAAGCTGTCTCTATTTGCCCCTATGTGTCCATTTGTGGTTTTTCATCCCCTTGCGGAAAGGCTTTCTCATAATAAGCCTTTGATTAGATTGCAAGCTCTTTAAGTCAGGTATTGTCTTTCTACTAACTGTGTGTACAGATCAACTTTAATAAGGCCTTGAAAGTTATTTGGCCTTTGTCGATACTGTGATAGTAACAGATGATAAGTTTACCCAATTCCTGACTTTCAGTGCTCCTCTGTTTTTGCTCTGTGACACACTGAATGCTGCCACTGCTGCAGCGTTTCTTTCTTTCTGCTGTAATTGCCTTCCCTTGCTTATAACCTAGTGAATAATATATGTTCACATTAGAGTGTTTGGCCCTGTGGGAGGACCTTCCAGTCACCTCAGTATTTTTTTTCAAACATCCTACTGTATGTGACACCATGAGATAAAGAAAGTAAACAACCAGTCCGCAGCTTAAATGGGTGCCACAGCTCAGATCTACAAATGCCTAAATAGAATAAAAGATCCTTTCTGGTCAGCAATGTATATTTGATAATTGGAGCAGTATCTTGCCCTTGCTTTGAATCTTTTGATTTAAGGAATTTGCAGGATGACAAAATGAGGAATACTAATGTTCTCTGGGCATTTTACATAGGAAGAAAGTGACATCCTCTGGGGTAAAATGACTTGTACAAGGTCACACAAGAAAATAGTAGTACAAGAAATATACCTTGGTTTGTATTGCTATCTAGAATTAACCCTATACATAATAGATGAAATTCTGGTGAACTTAACAGCACCGAGATCGTACTGAGTGTCAATGTTGCAGGGCAGGTCACAAAACGTTTGCAATTTTCTCAAGGTGTAAACCCTTTTACAAAAATCAGGTAATGTGTTCGCACACTATCTACAAAGGCAGGAAAGTGTGCTTAAATCTAGAAATATGAAGGCTCGTGTTTACTAAGAACACAATTCAGGGAATATAACAGTTAGGCAAGTAACCCCCCTTCTTGATGTCATATACCATATTTGCCCCATCATTGGAGGCAGCAAACACAAGGACAAAGAGAGCAAGCAGTAAACCACTTGGTAATCTTCTCATGTAGCTCCTGCAAAATATTCCCTGCAGTGCAGAATTGTTCAAAGTTGTGCATGCTGTGTGTGGCTGAGTGAGAAAACTAGCTGCTATGCACTGAGGTATATTGAAAAGAGAAAGAAACCCAGTGACCTGCTAATAGGCATGCTGTGTGTGGTATCTCCTGGCTACAAGTCCATATATTAGTGATCAGCTGTATCCTTTTCAAACAAGATGCTGTTTAAATTTTACTGATTGGTGCAATGGTTCTTGAGCGTGGGAGAGGGACAGTTTTTAGATGTTTTTCAACAGTAGGTGACTTCTGTAGGTCGCAACAGGAATAATTTTTTTCCTCTTCTATTTCCTGTTTTCATTCTTCACATTGCATGAAGATGAACAGTTAATTAAATCAAATGTAACATCCCAGCAAAGCTGACTTTTAACTCCAGTGCTATGAATAATGAAACTAAAACACATACTCAAGACTCATTTAATATGTTGGTATCTGATGTTTGACGGCTACTTCAGTATCTCTTTAGGAACCTTGATTTGATGCTGAGAAAATATAATTCCACTAAAATCAGGTTGGATGTGATAGGATTAATTTTCTCATCATCAAAAACTAGGAAATCATAAACTTCCAAGAAAAAAAAAAGAAAAAAGAAAAAAGAAAAAAATAGGGCTAGTGTTTTAGTTGGGCTGCAACCCTGTGATCATCCAAGAGAATTTCATCACAAGAAATACCCACTTGTAGATATTATTGCGACCTCAGCTTTCTAGTGGCTGGTTTTCTTACCAGTCTGAAAGGCTATCAAAGAGTACAATGATGTGTGTAAAATGCTGCTGGCTTCACTATAGGAATATCTACTGAGTAATAGCTAGAAAAAATACTTTATTGACACAAAGAGATTTTTTTTTGGTCATACTTTTTTCAGATTGGATAGTGGTTTAGATGGGAAAAGAACTAACACAGTTAAAATAGTTATATAAATATAAATGGATAACAGATATTATACAGTGATTTTTTAAATAGATTTCATATTGCAGCATTTTTAAATTCTTCAAAAGTATGGTTCAGTGAATACAGAGAAAAAAATGGATTAAAGGATTCATTTAAAACAAGGATATATCACTGCCTATTGTTTGTGTACAAGTAAGTTGCACAGAATGCATGGCGATATGTCATGGAGGTAACAGCTACAATTGTTGTAGAAAAAGGACCAAGAAAACGAGAATTGAAAAGGATAAACAGCCTTTTGATATATCAGTACAAAACCCTGTTTACAGGCATCTGTCTTTCGTCACCAAATTTCAACTATCTCATACTTTGAATACTCTTAATTTTTTTACATGGAAGAAGTAATCCTGGGTTCTTAGGGAAGATAGCACAACACAGTGTGAAAAATAGCATCCTGTGAGATGCTAATGGAGAGTAAATTTAGCATTTATACCTTTTTTTAATGAGCATAGTTGTTTCCTGTTTTGCTCATTTAAATGTTGCATCATAGAATGTTTTACAAATGTTTTTCATAAAATAATGTGGGTCATTTTTTATATTTTTAATAATAGTGTGCTGCATTTGGATAGTTTCATTTGCAATTTAAGTAATGCTTTGTTCTGATGAGATCTCTGGAGGTGGTTTTGACATTTAAAAGTGAAGTGAAGAGATTCAAAGTGATTAAAGCTGTCAAATGTTACCCTAATTGTGTGACTGCAATCTTTTCAGCCTCTTTCAATGAGTGTATACATTATACACGCTGCACAGCACTTCTGTTTAGATTGAGGTTTTTTATTAATGCCATCCTGATTGACAGAAATTATTGCAAGATCACAAGTGGAGCTAAATTAGTTTGCCACTGCATTCAAGCAACATGCATAGCCATGAACTTTTAAGATGCAGTTGTCTACTTAACATAGTCCTTCCCCCTCCCCCCAGAAAAAAACCAATGCTGCAGTAGTGACAGATGATATCTTTCACATTTATACAAAGACATACTAGTTTATAGGAATAAGAAAGCTTTGCCCATATTAGAATTATTTTAACCTTCATTTTGTATTCAAAATGCTGCTTGACAGGTCATTTATTATAAATATGGTTCTCAGCTAATAAAAGTATCAGATGTGCTCTAATTAATTATGAACAAGTCACATTTTCATGGCTGATATTTTATTAATATTTTGCTGTGTATTCATGGAAGCTCTAATACTTATTGATTCTTTCTTGTTTCTAAACCACTTTTCTATCTTTAGATATTCATGTTTTAGCTGTCTGGATTGGCAAAATAGGAGTAGTAATTATTTGAGAAAAATTTAGTGTTGTATATCTAGTGGTGGTTTTTAAGGTAATTAGGTCCAAATGTAGTCTTGCCTTCATAGATTTGTCTTACTACACTAATAGGAATAAAGGGTAAAAACATCCCCTCAAAAGAAATGTTTCATGAGGGGTTTTTATCTTGCAAAATACTTAGTAATGTTGCTGATGTGGTTTAATAAACTGTGTCACAACTGTTCAAGCAACCAGAATAAAATGCTCTGGACTTGTATTTTCCAAAATGATTGGCAACATAGCGCAAAACATAGATGGCTGTAACCGTAATCAGAAGTTTTCTTATAACATTAACTGCAATGACATTTATGTTTCTGAGGATTCTTTAGACAATGAATTAAGCATCGCCTGGCCTCCAGAATTCAAAGGACCACACAAATATTGGAAATCTTGAAGCTTAGATCTCAAATATCCTGATTAGTCATGCTGCTAGAAGAGCTAAGCAAACATGTAGACTAAAAAAGAAATCAAAATGAACCTTAATACTGTGATGACAGCAGCAATTACTATGACAAGATTATCTCAACTGAAAATATAGTAGTGAGGGCATCACACTACAGAGAAAAGATTTTAACGGGCTCCAAACTCTAGGTCAAACATACTTACAGCAAGGAAATTGCAATATTTGTTAATACCAAAATTTGAAAGAAGCAAGACCCAAAAAAAACCCCAACAAACCCAAACCGGAAAAAAATAAAATTTAGGTACAATTTCTGTAGTAAAATGTTGTAAAGAATCAAAGACACTCAGCCTACAGACAGTGTTACTTACAAGAGTTAGAGGAGGGTGGATTGCATTTCAAATGAACATGTTGTTCATGTCTGTCTTGTATGTAAGATGAACATAGTGTACAGATGTATGGCCTATGACCACTTTAATTGTCTGCATTTTTATTTTTATGTTAAAAAACCTCAACAGATGTTTATTTGTGTGATTCTCAGTCGCAGTAAGTTACAAGGTAAAAAATGCTTTAAAAATTGTCCAACAATTGTAACAAAGAGATAGAAAGTAAATTCTCCACGGGAACTTTTTTTTCCCTTGTTAGATTTGCTTGAAGCTTTCTCAGGCTCAGTGAATCATTTTTATCTGGGCTGTAGAGAATAGAAGAATTAACATTTGAAATGTTAATTGTTTTAGTAGCAAATTATTATATTGCTTACTCATTGATGGTGATTTATTTTCAGCCTATTTTAATGCCATGTTTTGCATTGAGGGAATTATTTGTGTCATTGATACCTTTGGAATGTTGTGCACTTTTCAGTCATGTTGCAGTCTCTTGACAACAGTGTTAAGAATTAATTATAATTCATAATTATAATGGTTAACAATAAAGCTCAAGTTTCGATGGCTTTAATGCCTGATGAGGGTAAGTAATACAGTTGGGTGAATAATTCATAGCAAATAATTTATTCGGTGAATTTGCTAAACAATGTCTGCAAATAATTCTTTAGCTTGTTTGCAAGCCATTCATTGTGAGTATTCCCACATTTGAAATTTGAGCTCATTGGAATGGACACATGGTCTTTATAGTTTTATTTTTATGCTGTCTGGTAGTAATGCTAGAATATTTTCATTTAAAGAACTAATAATTTGCTTTTTTTTTGCAAGAAAGTTTCCCAGTTTTTCTTTAAATTGACCAGAAAGGCAATTGGCTAAAATACCTTTAGACTAAAGATTAAGTTAGGGATATTTAGGTTAGCATTTTCAAAATGTTGAGGATATTTTTTAATTCTTGATTAACTATTAGATATTTATTATATTTTTTAGAGCACAACTCTTATTTTCAGTGTTACTTTAGAGTACAGACAGCAGCTGTTATCGGCTGCCTGTAACTTTGATTAGGATGGGAAGGTGTCTGAAAAGTTTCAAAATTCCACATTCTGCTGTTAGATTTGATTTTTGTTGTGGGGCAAAAAAGACATGGGTCAATAACCTGATGTGATTGAGCTAAGCTCAACCAGTCTGTGTCCTAGATTTTAATTACCTCCTCACTAAACTGTTTGTTATGGTGGCCATGCTTTCACATTATTTCACATTAATGGCATAAATAATTTGTGTGACCAGTGCATACGTTAATTTATCTTTGTCACTTGGGCTGCAGCACTGCCATTACATTACTTACTCCAAGTTGACTTTTGGAATCAGAGAGCACGCAGGTGCTAGATGCTGTGTAGAAAGGAGGCTGCATACAGTTCTGAGGAAGAAGCTGTCTAGCTGTTTCATAGCAGGAGCTTATGTTCTGAAAAGAGAGTGAGTGAGAAAGAAAGATCTTTCCTCAAATTTTCCCCTCAGTCCTCTTTTAAATGAACATAAACCCACAGTGGAGTTTTATGTAACTCCACAGTGACAGAGCTTGCTGTTACTGAGCTCATAAAAATGTAAGAACCACACTGTGACAGACCAAAGGTCCACCTTGCTGAATATTCTGTCCTAAGCAGCAACTAATGGAAGATGTTCAGGGAGGAATATAGAAAATTGATGAGTACAAATGGCTTAATCCCTTCTCTGTTAGATCTACCAGCTTCCACAGCTTCCTGAGCTGGAAGTCCATTGAAAACTGCCACTGGTAATTTCCATAAACAATCACCCATGCTGACAACTGACAAGTTCATACTGCAAGAATTACTCAGTTCTTAATGAATTTACACCCTCAGCACTCTCAGAAGTTTACAAATCCCTTAAGACTATTACGTATATTTCTCATGTATCTGAGTAATTTTTTATTTGATATTCATTGAAAGTATCCATCCACTGGGCAGCTCTAACTATCAAAGAGCATGGTTATAGCTTACAGATACTGCAAAATGCTACGTGATATAATAACTAAGGTTGATGTGAAATCAATAAAGTAAGTTTTTCAATCTTACTTGCCATGTATGCACATTTCGTGAAAGCACGCAGGCTGCTTGTGCCATCTGAGGGAAAGTCACACCAAAGCTCTTTGCATTCCAAGACTTCTTTCTGTACTAGTGGCTGTTTGGAGTTTGAACAGCAAATGAATGAGAGATATAAAAATCAAAAAAAAGCCAGCCTTTCTTTATGAACCATATTGTTTATACTGTAATGTAATATCAAAGTTCCTCTCACAAGGATCTGAAATGACTCTATTCTCTTTTAGAAGTATGTTAGATGATAATCACATAATCCTCTAGCAAACATTTGAATTTTTACCCAATATGTATATATGAGGAATAAAGACTCTCCTTTATGAAGTATGTAATATTTTTAGCTGATGCAATAGAGTTCATACTTTATCCCAGCAATATATACAAAGTTTTGAAGCAGGCAGGATAAGACTACAGTGGTGAATATGAAGTCCAGCCTGAGGCTCCATGTATTATAAGGAAATAAAAAAAATCCTAAACATAGGAAGAATTGTTCAGTTGTTAATTTTTTCCTGGGTATATGTGTGCTTCATGTCTGCTTCATGTAGTTCTATAGATATGTGTAGATATTTGCTTGGGTGTGAAGTCACTGAGCATGGAATAAATTTAGGAGGTTTGGCTGTGGCAGTATCAGTGTCCTTACTCTTTGGACATGATACATTTGAAGCATCACTACCTCAGCTCTTCTGCCACAGCTGATCTCTTCCTGTTGAGTGCCTCACCCACCAAAATTGCTATCCTGCGGTAAAAGTCTGACAAAAAAAAGGTCATCCTTCAAATGAGGTCTGAGAACTTTAAAAGTTCAAATCTTGTCAATCATTGAGAGATTTTCAGATTTTATCATTGTCTATCACACAGTGGTGTAACAGTCCTGATATCCTGCATTTCTTAAGGCACAGATCCATCAAACAAAATGCTAGTTTGGTCTGAATTTGAAGACTGACTTAGGGGAAAGAAAAAAAAGGAAAAACACCTGATTCTGTATACCTCAGAACATAGTGCCTTAGAGAAATGAGGAAAGCAAAACTGGAGAGTGACTGCTGTAGCCCTTCTAATCTATCCTCAATTATAAGTGAGGCATCCCTGCCCATGGCAGGGAGGCTGGAACTTGATGATCTTAAGGTCCTTTCCAACCCTAACTCTTCTATGATTCTATATAGGAAGTTCGATTTTTTTCTAATAGGGAAGTAACATAGACCCCATGTTCCAGTGCACCTGGCTGTGAAAATGTGGCCTGTTCATTTAAAGCAAAAACACATCCTCATAACCACAATGCAGAAGAAGGCAAAAGAAGTGTGTTCTACATATTAAACTGGACTTTCCCCCAGAAATATTTCATTTGATGTAAAAATACCCAGCTAAGCATGTACATTCCAGATTAGCAGAATGTAATGTTTGGGATGTGTAATTTGAAAAGTAGTGGAATGGAAGGCCTTTAAAATTAGATAATTGATGCTTCTAAAATCAGACAGAAAATAAGCTGACAAACTCGACATGTTTTCCATATTGACAATTCTTAAGTTTTATCATTTTTAAAATGAAAAATATACTGTCTGTCATGATTGTATTTTGGGGGATCTCTTAGAAGCCTGCTTATGGCTCTTTTCTTACTGTGCTGAACCATCAGCAGGGAACTGCTCCCAAATTTTCTACATTTATGGTGGATTTCTAACACAAGATATCCCCTGTAACTCAGAACTATCAACATATGTGATTTAAATCAGTACTGTTTTACCTATACATATACCTGACAATGCTGGCTGGAGACTACCAGAGGCCTTAGCCCTTCTTGTTGCCTCTCTGGACTGTCTACCTGCTTAGCAAAGTACCCTCTCACCTGTGCCTTTCTTCAGTTCTGCGCTGTGCTGCATGTTGTTCCTGCTACTGTGGCTCACTTACAGCACTTAATAGGATTATGCTCTCCTGTGTAGTCTGGGAAGTCGATGAGGATACTGTTCTCAGTCTCTCAGTTCTCTTTACTTTCCAGTCACAAGAGAATGACCTGAACAGGAAAATGGGGTTGATGGGTAGGAGCAGGAAGACATCCTGTGTCTCAGAATCTCTTTTAAAATAGGGATTTCAAGCTACTCTTGCTGATGAAGTGGAGATCTGAGTCTCTCTCTTTTCAAGAGAAGAGATTGGATTGTAGATTCTCATCATCATGAAAAAGAGTGAATGACCTCTAAAAAGCAAAGATTTCCTTTGTGTGCCCTAGGGCACCAGTAAGTCTGAGGAAGGTTCCAGACTGAATGCAGTTTTTGTCTTGTTCAGTAGCAGAACAGTAGTCCATCAGCATGGAATTCCTGTAAGTACAAAGCCAGGCACCTAGATAGTCATGAGTCAATGCTTCAGCTTAAAGTAGGTTAGCTGCTGTCTCAGATATTGTTTAGAGTAATTTTAGGATAGTAGGTAGAAACTTTGTAAAGGAATAGCATATTCAGGGCTCTCTACAACAACTAACTTTCCCGGAACAGACCTTGCCTCCTGAAAGCAAGCCCACTCTGCAGATTGGAATCCTGGTGTGCTGTTTAGATATGCTGAAAATACACACTCCAAAGTATATAGTATACTACAAGAGAAAGAAATAAGAGTAGGCTGAAAGGCTGGAGGGGGAAAATGAGTCTGTAAAAAGATAATATTTAGCAGTTATGGGTAGCGTTTCATTTTCATTGCACTTCACAAACATTGACTGATTAATAACCTCACAGCAATGCACTGAGTCAGGTAGTACATTTCCTTCCTATTATTATCCCCAGCTGGTGGTGGTGGGGAATGTATAGAACTAGATGGGGATGGAGGGGAGGGACATATCAAGAGCCGTCTGAATTCTCAGTAGTATCGTAGAGAATTCTTCCTTATTATTTTGATTTAAGCAAATTTTAGCTTTTGAAATCAGAGCCCACAGAGTGCCTCATTAACAACATTTTGCTGGCAGTACTTCCATTTTTTTGTTTCCAATTCTGAGGCAACAAGTGAGTTTGTCTGTGTACAACAACAATGCCAGTTATTTGTGTTTGCAATATATCTGTTGTTGTTTCTGTTGGTGGAGACAGGGAAAGGAAAGACGCACTGAGAACAGGCAGTGGGTGGTATGCTCTCAGCAGCTGTCACTGCTATCAGTTACTTGGTTTTCATTTATAAAAGGCAATATGGGATCTTTAGCTTTTATAGTACCCAAGGAAGGCTGGTTGGTGATCATTGATTTTATTTAGTCCAGGGGAGCTGCTCACACACACACTACAGTGAGTTGTGTGCTTCCTGCTCCTAGCTCTCCTGCCACTTACTGTTTTCAATTATTTACAAAATCCAAGGCACATCTCAGAAAAGTTCAGCACAGGCTCCAGGACAGGCTGCTGTTACAGTACCCCATCCATATGCCTACCACTTTGTTACAGGAATTGACATGAGCAAATTGCCCTAATGAGATCTGATGCATTATGAAGGCCTGGACAGTAAAAAACTATACAAAATCTGGTATAACCATCATAAGCCGTAAATGCCATGGTCATCACTTTCCCAAGTAACCACCAGTATGTCACTGGTTCTCAGCAATTTAATGGGCTTTTCTGCAAATGACTCCATTCATTTTCTGTTTGTCTTAGCTTCTTTCAAGTGCTAAGAACATAACAATCTGAGGAGATCTGTTTTCTTCAGTGAGAGAGACAACTTAGAGTCTGTCTGCTAAAAATAGTTAAGACAAGTGAAAGACCTGCTTTTCTCCACTCAAAAGATCCATGAAAAGATGTCACTAAGGGCTTCAGAAGAAGCTTAATTGCAGGTGGATATTGGGAGGAGGAAAAAAAGATAAAAAGAGCTTTAAGGGGAAAGAGAACCAAGAAGGCATTCCTGGGCATACTTGTTTCCTACTTTTTGCTACAGAGCTGGAAGTTATGTAAGAATATGGAGGTGAATTCCTTACCTTCTATCTTCAGTTCTGGAGTCTATAAGGGGCCATTACAACTGCAGTCAAAGTAGGTCAAAAGAGAAACAGACCCTGAAGAAGTGCCTATGATCCCAGAGAACGGGATTGGCTGAAACTGAACTTCTGTGAGAACTCTGGAAGAGCCTAAGTTTTTCCAGTTATCTGCAAAATTACACTAGAACAGAGAAGGAGGGAATCACCTTTGTTCAATGAAGGGTAAGCAGAATATAAAAGGGGGGGGGGGGAATTAATTGAAAAAGATTTTGTTGACTGGCAAAAAGAATTCTGAAGCATTTTAGCAGGCGTTTCTGAACAAATAATATTTTATTTATGTTGGTATATAGCATATCCAAAGATACTTCTAAAAATACATGACCTAAGACTATAGGGACCCTGTTATATTTGCTTTCAGATAAGATACTAAAATCATACTGTCCAGGTTAAAATGCTCATATTACTAACAATCACAGAATATAAGGTCTAGTAATGGCATTTAGAACTGATCGTGCTGAAAATTGAGCACAATATAGTAGGTGTGGATTTCTACTTTCAGAAGCTGATGATGTTCCTCACATTTGATGCTATTAAAACACCCTCTTACAATACTTGACATGTAAGTGATCTATTTTGTATTTTGTATTTTCTCAGTATTTTTGCATAATTTTTTAGAGGAATTCCTTAGCTTCTTAACTCATACTGAAGTTTGCATGTGAAGCAGCCATAGAGACCTATGTACGAAAGTGAAAATACATTTATGGAAAACTTTCTGAAGTAGTCTCTCATCTACAATTTCAAGGGTTTTCAGAGGTTTCTTAAGGGGGAAACATTTTTCAAATATAGCTTTCTTAGAGAGTCAGCCACTGATGATGTAGTTCATACCATCTTCCCAAGATACTTGATCCTCCAGATGAATCATAGAATCATAGAATGGTTAGGGTTGGAAAGGACCTTAAGATCATCAAGTTCCAGCCCCCCTGCCATGGGCAGGGATGCCTCACATATAATTAAGGATAGATTAGAAGGGCTATGAGGTCTCCACGCAGCCTTCTCTTCTCCAGGCTGAACAGCCCCAACTTTCTCAGCCTATCTTCACACAGGAGGTGCTCCAGTCCCCTGATCATTCTCATGGCCCTCCTCTGGACTTGTTCCAACAGACCCATGTCCTTTTTATGTTGAGGAC